CGACCGAGTACCCTCTGTTGATGGATGCTCCTAGCGCTTCCTGAGGACTCCAAGCACTGCAGCAGACACCACAACCACAGCTGACTCCGCAACCGCCGTATCTTGACTGGAGTCTCGCCGTCTTCCTTCCACCCTGGATCAGCTTCTGTTCTCCAGGACTGTGCCTTCCACCCTGTATGAACCTCCAGCATCCAGGACTGTGTGGTGAAGACCCCTCCTCCAAGGAGAGCGTGTTAGGAACAAGCTCTTAAAAGAGCTCAATGACTCAAGCTCAGGGGAGCATGCAGAGCATAGCAATCCCCAGTGTGATTATAACAGCTCCCTCCAATAACGAGACAAGGCTACATTTAGAGGGATCAAGAAGAACTGTCAAAACCTTTATTCCCTTGGGACCAGCCAATACAGTCACCACAATAACATTGTTGTGAAACCTCAATAAAATCGCAAACAGTCAAAGCATATCAAGAAACACACAGTGACTTATCACAACACAATGGCACATTTTTAAAGGGGTGGGGGGAGACAATATTTAACAGTAAATATCTCACCTGCCTGCAGAATTAGCAATATGCAAATCTACCCGAATATACAAATGAACCAGTCTTGCAATTCAGGTAGTGCATATTGCTGTTGCTACCAACAGAGGGCACTAGACAAGCTCCATAGCCAAACCCACCTAGTTGGTAGCAAACCTCAGGAATACAAGAGAGCAGGCAATACATTACACAGTACACACACACACACACAATAAACAATTACATTACACACACCCTGCACCTATAATGGGTACAGGGTGACTAAAACATAAGATAAATAAAGCAGCCTACATAAATAGTCTGTCTGAAGGTATACTAGGGCCTTTAAAGCCAGATACATGAAAGAGTCATAGTCACAGGGGAGAAGGCTGGCAAGTAGGCCTCTCCAGGACCAAGTGGCGAAGGGCACTTCGTCACATATCTCCCCTTCGGGGGGAAGACTAACCAGGCACCTGACTTTCTGTCGGTCAGTGCCTAAGTTAGTCGAGTCACCCACCGACCATAAGCGAGTGCCAGAGTAGCCCACCCACAACAAACAGTTATTAGAGCAGCCCACCCACAGCAAACAGTGACTGCACCTGGGTATTCCTCTGGGGTGATGGGGCAACACGCTGTGGGGACTTGAGGGGCAGAGGCCAGCGGCACTCTGCCCTGATGCCAGCGCTTCTGCTGGGAGGAGGGGGGTGCAGGCCAGTCCTGTGAGAAGGGGATCGGTAGGGCAGAGGCCAGCGGCGGTCTGCCCTGATGCCAGCTCTTCTGCTGGTATAGCCTGTAGGACATCAGGCTCTGGACAAGGGACAAAGGGAGGGCAGAGGCCGACTGCACTCTGCCCAGCCGACAGCTCTTCCGCTGGGGGGCTTGGGACATAGTCCGGCTCAGTAGCCAGGGGAACGTGGGGGTCAGTGGGGGTTAACATCTCCCCTGTTAACCCTGGGGCCAAGTTAGGAGTTAGCTGGGGAGGGAAATTCGTACTTACCCACTCCTCCTGTTGTCCCTGTGAGGGTAGTTGGGGATCTGGACAGGCTGTCCAGCATCCCTGTAGGTCGGGCACAGAGACCACGGTCCCCTCTGTGCCATCTGGGAGATTGGGGTCTCCCCTTGGTAGGGTAAGCTGCCGCTGGGGAGATAGGGTGCTGTGCTCCTCTCCCTGAAACACAGGCTGCTGCTGGAGAGGGAGACCGCCTGTCTCCACTCCCATAACATTGTCCTGCTGCTGGAGAGAGAGACCAACTGTCTCTGCTCCCTGTAGGACACACTGCTGCTGGGGAGGAAGGACGACACCTTTGGCTCCCTGGAATTCGCACTGCCGCTGGGGAGGAAGGACGACACCTTCGGCTCCCTGGAATTCGCACTGCCGCTGGGGAGGAAGGACGACACCTTCGGCTCCCTGGAATTCGCACTGCCGCTGGGGAGGAAGGACGACACCTTCGGCTCCCTGTAACTTGCACTGCCACTGGGGAGGAAGGATGACACCTTCGTCTCCCTGTAACTTGCACTGCCGCTGGAGACTAGGTGTCCATATCCTCAACCTCCACAGTTGTCGCTCAAAGGCCATTGCCGCACTGTTCTCAGCACTCAACTGGCGCATTACTTGGTGGACCACCTCGTTCGAAAGGTCTGGGCCATAGCAGACCAACCGCCTCTTTACCTCCTCAATGTAAGCGTCGCCCTCGTAGCGACGTATCATGTTGAGGTGCTCTTCGCAGGGCTCTATCCATCCCTGCTCCATGCTGCTGTAGTTAGGGATGCTGCACAGTGTCTAGCGTTGCCCTCAATAACCTCTCATACGATACCAGTGTCTCCGAGCTGCTTCTCCTCGCACTAGGACGCCATCCCACCGCTGCCACCAATGTAACGGAGCTCCTTGTACTCCGACTGAGTACCCTCCGTTGATGGATGCTCCTAGCGCTTCCTGAGGACTTCCAAGCACTGCAGCAGACACCACAACCACCGCAGACTCCGCAACCGCCGTATCTTGACTGGAGTCTCGCCGTCTTCCTTCCACCCTGGATCAGCTTCTGTCCTCCAGGACTGTGTGGTGAAGACCCCTCCTCCAAGGAGAGCGTGTCAGGAACAAGCTCTTAAAAGAGCTAAGTGACTCAAGCTCAGGGGAGCATGCAGAGCATAGCATAGCAATCCCCAATGTGATTATAACAGCTCCCTCCAATAACGAGACAAGGCTACGTTTAGAGGGATCAAGAAGAAC